GCAGGAGCAGATGGTGCTCACTGTTCACACCCACCCGGCCATGGGGCATGTTCAGCACAGAAAGAGCAGAACCAGGAGGACTCTGTCCAGCTGCCCTGTGCCCAGCCCGCTCTGAGGAGCCACCCAGCCCTGCACAGCTGCATCTCAGGCAGGACCAGGGGGAGTTACATCATGTTCCCTATGGCCCACACACGTTATTTGCACACGTGCTTTCCTGAAGGCACATACACATGGAAAATGAAGGGGTTAGATGGGAGTAACTGCCTGTCCTCACCACAGGGACAAGTCCTGAGGCCTGACCTGGGTCTCAGGGACACCTGGGAGGGGACAAAGCTGACACACAGCTTCAGAGCTGGGGAGAGCACGTGCCCCAGAAGCTCACCAGCAGGCAGGTAAGTGCTAAACCCATGTCTGCCACAGGAAGAAACTCCTCCTCTATGAATATACATGCCAAGAGCTCCAGGATAATTTCAGGCACCCTAGTGCTGCCTGCAGCTCCAGTCTGAGTGCAGGAGCTGGAAGTTCACTGCCTGCTTCTCACACATCTGCCTCTGCTGCGGGCTGGCTGCTGCTAGGAAAGTCTCTGAAAACCACTCAGTTCCTTTCAGCACAGAATTTGTGGCTGTGTCCTTTGTTTAAAAGGATCATGGACGCTGCTGTCTGGTTGAGAAAACAGGTTGGAAGACAGGCTGTGCAGCTTTGGGTAGGTGGGAGGGAGGGAGATGTGAGCTCACCACTGGGGATCTCAGCAGCGATGTTTTCTACTCCTCTCTTCACCGTCCGAGGTCGACCTTGTTCTGCAGGAGTGGAGCCCCAGTCGTCGGAGGTGGCGACTGGGTGGTAGTGCACCATCAGCTTGTAAACAGGAAGAGCCTGTCATTACACTGCCCGGCACCGTGGGTAGGCAGGGCAGAAATCTGGCTGCGGCAGGTGACAGGGCGGGACCAGCCCGGGGTGTCTGACTGCCACCGTGAGCCCCTGCACAAAGAGGGTGAACAGCGTGGTGGGGGCACGGCGAGGAGGGACACTGCCCTCTGCCCACTGCCCACTGCCCTCTGCCCTGTGCCCACTGCCCTCTGCCCTCTGCCCACTGCCCCCACACAGCCCCACGAGGGGAGCGCCGCCGGGTGGAACCAACTGCTCAGCAGGTGGGGCTAAAAGAACCAGCAGAAAGCCAGAGCATAAGGACAGGCCCTGAAGAGGGTGACAGGATGTCCCTGCTGAGCAGCAGAGACAGATCACCAGGCCCTCCTCACCTTCGGGTTGTGCAAGATAATGACTTCTCTGCTGGGGGACTCCAGTTTCTTCTTCCACTCATCCTGGGTCACAGCAGTCCTGTAAGCTTCCTAGGGAAAAGAACAGCCTCTGTGAGTCAGCTGAAGGTATTCCCAGGATATTGGACTGCTTGGGACACTCCCCACCCATTTTATGGTGTCTTATCAATGCACTTTGCCAAAGAGGCAGAGAAATCAGGGAGTCCAGGCTGGGGGAGCAGCAGGGTCACTGGAGTATCAGTCACCTCCTACAGAGTCTCCAAGAAGCCTCTGCTTTAATAGCAGCAGCTACTCCACAGCAATTGAAAATCCTGGGGTGTGGTAGATCAGAATACAGATGATTGTAAAGCTGTACACTTTAACACAGGTATCTGTATCTCTACATATATGTCTTTCTAAAGGAACGTCCCCAGCCGTTGGCAGCACAGACCTCTGCAGTCTGACACCATGCAGCGGCCGGGGGGGCCCCTGGCAATGGCTCCTCTTGCATTCACAGCTGCCTTGGCTTTGGTGAAACTAGGAGTGCAGTCAGGACAATTCTCACGAGCAGACAGGAAAAACCAGAGTGGAGCTGCTAAAGCCAGGCTGCCAGCAAGGCCAGAGGAGCACCCAGCACTTGAATGGGTAGCAGATGGATGGAGGCGGCTGGGTGAGGGCAGGAGGAAGGGGAGGCCCCAGCTACAGCAGGCTGGGAGCAAGACACTGGCCACGTTTAGTTACGTTAATCAAAAAAAAGATTTTTTTTGGTGCGAAAACACCAAAGCCTCTTTTGAGTTCATGTCCTCAGGCCTGACTTTGTTGCCAGGGGCCCCATGTGGAGTTTGGGACATCAGGGCCAGTATTTGACAACAAGAAACCACTCGTCACAGCGGTTTCTGATGCACACCACCAGGAAAGTCACATTTACCTCCAGTTCTTCGCTGAAGGTCTCGGAGTAGGGAATATACTTGTTGTCCTTGTCCCCCTTGTAAAACCAGGTGCAGCGCCGCACTTCGGACACCTCCTCGTCCCAGTAGACGGCGACACGACGCCGCTCCCGCAGGCACACGTCGTACCTGCCCCCCGACGTCGGGACAACCAGATCTCCTCCGGCCCTCCCTGCAGGAACCAAGGCCTGAAATTGATCACGAGGGCCAGAAAGGGATGCTGCCAGGAGGCTGGTGACCCTGCTAGAGCAGAGGGGTGAGACTGGCGCAGCTTCTGTGGGCAGCACATGACCACGTATGAGCAACAGCAGCACACACGGATGTTCTCCGTGCCCAAGCATCGGTGGGCATCCTAGGAGAGATGCCCCAGGTCGGACTTCCCCAGAGGCAGAAGGTAAGATGAAGGCATTAAGCTACAGCCGTCCTCCTCTCTAGCTCAGGCACAGGCTTACGTGGACTCTGCCTACCTCACTTAGATCACAAAATGTGAATCTGTGGCCCTGGGAAGCATGTTGCTTCCTGGTGGAGCTGCAGGTCTGCACATCTGTAACCCAGTCCCCTCTAAAACAGAGAACTCTGCACAGATCCCAGCACAGACCTCAAATTTGTCTCATGCTGCTGCTTTTTGGGTCTGCCTGCTGGCCTGGCTGCTGGCAGAGTGCCCCGTGCCAGGCTGTGCTCGGCTCAGCTGCGGCACCAAGGACCAGCAGCACGGCCTCTAATCTGAAACTTCCTGGGAGAGGGAGGATGGAAGCAACTCTTGGGCAACCAGGGCCGTGCCCGTGGCCGTGGGCAGCAGTGGAGCTTTCGGCGCCGTGCTGGCAGCGGGTCACACGGAGGGGTGCCACTCAGCAGCCTGAGGGTCCCATGGGAAGGGACCCCTCCAGGAGCAGCCAGGGGACCGTGTGTCTACACCGGAGAGATCTCCTGCTGGCATTTCAGCACCTGCCAGCCCTCAGCACCAGAAGGGTGCTTTGCAGGATGATTATATATAATTTAGAGCGTATATCAAATGAATGAGGTCAGACCATTCGATGCATCCCAACAGCTCAGTTATTCATGCATTTACAGCACTAATCGTAGGCACGTTGCCAAAAAAACTCCCAGTTTGAAATTCCCGAGGGAAAGTCGTGCCTCCCAGGCT